GGTACAAGAGCTGAACAGAAAATTTCAAAGGTCAGCTCTAGAAGACAAAGTCAAATATTATAACAAAGTGTGCAAAGATCTGGAGTTAGAAAACCAAAGGGGAAGAACATGCTCAGCAGTTCTCAAGCTGAGGGAAGTGAAGAAAAATTTCAAGTCTTGACATTGGGTTATTGAAGGATTCTCTTGGCAAATTATTGAACTATACAAAAAGTATTAAAAGAAGATGGAAGGAATACACAGAGTCACTGTACCAAAAGAAATAGTATGTGTTCAACCATTTCAAGATGTAGCATATGACCAAGAGCCAATGATACTGAAGGAAGAAGTCTAAGGTGCATTAAAGTAATTGGCAAAAAATGAGGCACCAGGAATAGATGGAATACAAATTGAAATCTTTCAACAAAGTGAAGTGGCACTTATCTATGCCAAGAAATTTGGAGGACAACTACCTGGCCAACTGCCTAGAAGAGATCCATATTTGTGCCCATTCCAAAGAGAGGTGACCCAATGGAATGCAGAAATCATCAGACAATATCACAGATATGCCATGCAAGTAAAGTTTTGCAGAAGGTAATACAGAAACATCTGCAACAATACACTGATAGTGAACTTCTAGAGGCTCAAGTCAGTTTCAGAAGAGGAGATGAAATAAGGGCTATCATTGCTGACGTCAGATGGATTTTGGCTGAAAGCAGAGACTACCAGAAAGAGGTTTACCTGTGATTTATTGACTATTCAGAGGCTTTCAGTTGTATGGAAAATGACTAGCTATGGACAACATTGCAGAGAATGAGTATTCTGGAACACTTAACTGTGCTCATGTACATAGACTAAGAGGCAGCTGTTGAAACAGAATAAGGAAACACTGAATGGTTTAAAATTAGGTAAAATGTGTACCAGGGTTGTATTTTTTCACCATGCTTATTCAATCTGTATGCTGAACAAATAATCAGAGAAACTGGATTATATGAAGAAAAATGTGGCATCAGGCTAGAAGGAAGACTCATTAACAATCTGAGATATGCAGATGATACAACCTTGCTTGCTGAAAGCTAAGAGGACTTAAAATATTTGCTGATGAAAATCAAAAACCACAGTCTTTGATATGTGTTGCACCTCAATATAAAGAATGTAAAAATCCTCACACTGGACAAATAAACACCATCCATATAAACAGAGAAATGATTGAAGTTGTCAAAGACTTCATCTTACTCAGATTAACCATCAACATTCATGGAAGCAGCAATTAGGAAATCAAAGTCAAACCTGCTGCCTAAGACCTCTTTAAAGTGTTGAAGAGCCAACACTCATAGGCATGCTAATGTTGGACAGTGAATAAGGAAGACCTTAGAAGAATTGATGCATTTGAGGTATGGTGTTGATGGAGAACATTAAAAATGCCATGGGCTGCCAAAACCAAACAGATCTGTGTTGGATGAAGTACAGTCAGAATGCTCCTTGGAAGCCAGCATAGCCAAACTTCATCTCTCACACTTCAGACATATTATTAGGAGAGACCAGTCCCTGGAGAAGGACATCATGTTTAGTAAAATGGAGGGTCAAAGAAAAAGAGGAAACCCGCCCCCCCCAAAATTAATTGGCACAGTGGGCGCAGTGATGGGCTCAAGTGTAGTAACAATTGTGGGGTCAGCGCAGAACCGGACAGTGTTATGCATAGGGTCTCTATGAGTCAGTACCAACTCCATGGCACCTAACAACAACATTTAATGAGAACTGGGGCACCTTGTCTTTCCAGAAATCACATACCACCTTTGTTGTCAGAGCATGCCAAAATAGAAAAAAAAAAAAAAAAAAAAAGCCAAGTGAACAACATGAATTATTTTAGCTATTAGCCATTAGAGTTTTAACTAAATGGTGTAAGTTCTTGTCAAAGTTGTTAATTTGCTAACATCATGGTTATGAGTTGGACTGCTAACCTCAAGATCAGCAGTTCGAAACTACCAGATGTTCCATAGGAAAAAGATGAGGCTTTCTGCTCCCATAAAGATTTACAGCCTTGGAAACTCTATGCAAGTTTGCTATGAGTTGGAACCGACTCCACAGCACTCTACCACCACCACCATGCCATCCCAGTAAAGAGTCATGATGGCATATAATGTTAAGCACTGAATTACTCACTGTTAGGTGAGTTTCGTGAGCTATTGCAGAATCCTGGGACTTGAAGGAAAGGAAGGGACTATGGAGGGGTGTATGTTATAGTATACCTAATACCCCCCCCCATTTGAAATATTATAGGATAACTAACAGACCCCATTTAAAATATTATAGTATAACTAACTGCCCCCATTTGCCATTTGAAATATTATAGCATAGTTCACCCTGTTCCCTGCTTCCTCCCTACCTCACCCTATGGAAAAATAATGAATAAACTTCTTACAGAAAAACCTTGAAGGCCAAAATGACCCAAGGACACCTGAACAAACAGGATAAAACTTAGCCTATCCATACAACCAAGATAAGGGTTTATTGGTGGGTTTACTCCCACTTACAGGATAAGGGTCTGCTGGAATTTACCACCCCAGCTGACAAGATAAGTCTGTGTTTTCTAACCACTCTGTGTTTCTTGTATAAAACCCTGTTCCACTCCTAACTTCGGGGTCAGAGTAACTTGGGCTTGAGCTGACATTCTGGCTGCTGGCAATAAACTTTGCTCTTTAAGTTTTCTGAGTTGAGTTCTTTCTGACTCGTGCTGCCGCAACATGTAACATGTCAGAAAAGTCGAGCAGTTGGGATATCTTTAACCTCCATGGTATTTTTAGTAATCTCATATGCATGTGAAAGTTGGATAGTGAATAAGAAAGACCATAGAAGAATTGATGCAGTTGAGTTTTGGTTTTGAAGGAGAATATTGGAAGCACTATGGACCACCAAAAGAACAAACATGGGAAGAAGTACAGCCAGAGTGCTCCTTGGAAGTCAGGATGACCAAACGTCATCTCTCATACTTCGGACATGTTGCCAGGAGGGATCAGTCACTGGAGAAGGATATCATATTTGGTAAAGTGGAGGGTCAAAGAAAAAGAGGAAGATCCCAAGGAGATGGATTGGCAATATCAGAAGTGATGGGCTCAGGCATAGCAACAATTGTAAGGTTGGCCCAGAACTGCGTAGTGTTTGTTCTGTTGTTTATCGGGCTGCGAGTCACAAGGTCAGCAGCTCGAAACTACCAGCTGTTTCACGGGAGAAAGATGAGGCTTTCTGCTCCCATAAAGATTTACAGCCTCGGAAACCCTGTACAGAGTTGCTGTGAGTCGGAACCAACTCCACAGCACATAACCACAGTCACCATGTTTGGAAACTGACTTGATGGCACCAAACAACAAGAACAAGAGAGCAGGAAAATCCCACCTTCATTGCTAACTGTATGATAAGGATTGCCTTGAAATCAATTTCCCTCCTCATAATCCTCAACAACAGCAACCCAAGAAGCATTCTTTCTCAAACCCCAGTCATCCAGACCTGTTTCTGAGTTCACTAATTAGAAGCATTACAGATCCACCAGTCATCCTTTGGGAGAAAGATAAGGTTTTCTGCTCCTGTAAATACTTATAGCCTCAGAAACCCTAAACAGGGTTGCTATGAGTCAGAACTGACTCCATGGCCAACAGCAGCAGTAGCAATAACAGGTCCTTCAGACTGACTGCCAACTCAACCTTTCTTTCATCCTGCCATGTCAGTTCAAAGCACACAATTTTAAAAGATGCAGCAATCAGTAGGCTAATAGACCATGTGAACATCAGTTTCCATGACCCTGAGACCAGAACAAGATGGTGCCTGGCTACTACTTGGCTATGACTACCACCTGCTCTGCAAAGGATCACATTAGAAGGCCTTGGATAGAGTGGGAGAAAAATGTGGTTCGCAGCCTGATTCGTAACCACTACGCTACCAGAGCTCCTTGGGACACGATATAGTGTACTGAAATTCGTATAGCATCCAGGACAGTGGGTTTTTGGGGGGGTTGAGGGGTGGGGCATAGGGTTCATTTCTATGTCCTCAAGATATATTTGGTTTGATTTTAAGTTTGCTTACTCATCAAAGTATGGGCAGAAATTGGGTCTAAATAGCAATGACAGGACGGGTGCTAATTTCAAATAGCACTCATCTTGATGTATTCCATAATAAAACACTTTCATGGACTTGAGTAGGGCCCATTTAGCTAAGCTTTATAAAACTGAAGAGGTTTTTAATTTAGACACTAATACACATTTAGCATGCAAAGTCACTTTTTCTAAGGCGTGTTAAATACATTAAAAGGTGCATGTTCTAAAAACCTCCACTCAGTTCCTTTCCTCCCACCCTTATCTGAAAGTGTATACAGAAAACAGAGCCTGCTAGGCTCTGCAGCAACCTTGGACTTTACAGAGGGAAAAGTCAGGTAGGTAAACATAGTTTTGTTTACTAGTATTGAGTTACAGAGGGAGAAGGGCTGAATAAATTACTGGCATAGGCTAGGTCTTAATGGACTGGACTACACTTAACAACAACAACAAACAGGCAAGGGTCCCCAACAAAGTCCTGAGTCCCCACCAGAATAAGTTTGCTTTAATGGAAACTGAAAATAAGTTTGGAGTTTATCAACTGCCAATTTCTTCTGTTCCTACAGTTCAGATTACTTGGATCAAATCCAAGCGAGGAGCTTTTGCCTATTGTGGCGCTGTGGGCTAATGCGTCAGACTGCAAAGTCGTTTGAACTGCAAAGTCGGTGGTTCAAGCTCACCAGCTGCTCCTTGGAAACCCTATTCATGGTCGCTATGGGTAGGAATCCACTTGATGGCACTTAACCACAACAACAATCACATCAAGGAGCCAGTCAGCACCCGCCAGGGGCTGACCCCGGGGCGGAGCTGGGGGCGGGGCAGGAAGCGCGGGAGATTTGAATGTCCTTTCTAAGGCGCCAGTACTGGTGCGGAAGTCAAGTTGCACAGCAGTTTTCTTATCTGGGCCCAGTAGCTGGTGGGCCACAGTGCCGGCCTCAGATGGTGGAAGGACCTGGTTGTACTTTAAATGGAGAGAGAATTCGGGCGCAAGTACTCCCGGGCCAGGCAGTGGTAGACATGCGGGGAAGGGCTCTGCAGGGCCTGGAGGTAAGGGGATTGCCCCTAGAAGCTTCCTTGGCTGCGGACGTTTCCCAGGTGAGTTGCTCTTGTTAAGTTGAAAAGGAGGCGGCAGAGAAGAATGGAATGAAGATCTCTCAGAGTTCCAGAATGTAAAGTGATATCCGGCACAGGTTAATTGCTACCAGTTGTTCCGCAGGAGAAAGATGAGGCTTTCTGTTCCCGTAAAGATTTATACAGCCTTGGAAACCCTATACACACACGGTCGCTGAGTCAGAACCGACTTCACAGCACATAACCACCACCGCCAAAGTTTATCTTGACTTGTTAGAGGGAAAGAAGGCGGTCCCAGCATGCCTGCATCCCACAAACCCACTGGCACCCTGTCGAGATTCAGATTTATAGCCACCCTGTATAGAGTTTCCGAGGCTGTAAATCTTTACGAAACCAGAAAGTCTGATCTTGTGGGTTTGATGTTAGTGGGTTTGAACTGCCAACCTTGAGGTTTCCAGTCTTGTGATTATCCTAGAGTAGTAACTACCTGTTGGAGTGCTGGTGTTACTTGGAGACTTGACTAAGGGCTTTTTCAGGTTAACTTCTTTATAATCCACCAAAGATGGGTTCCTCGTGTCTGTAGCGACACTTTCTACTGTTAATATTACTAGATCTCTGCAACCTCTTCACATGCTTTTCCCCCTCACTGCCCTTCACATTTTTAAGACGATAATCTTTTAACATAAAATCCTAGCTTCTTGCTTGCCTAATATTCTGCAATTGATAAGTATTTCACAGCTAATGTATAATTCTAAAATTGCACATAGAAAGTTTAGCACTAACCTTCCCACTCAACCTAATCTTTCCATCTAATAAAGGGGCAGTGAAACCCAACTCTGGTTCCCTTAAGTGAATTTATTTCTTTTTAAATAAAATTGCAGCACAGCTTCTTGCCACTCAGGCATACATTTAGATGGTGTGCTATCCATTTGGTAAGAATTTAGAACTTTAAAAAAATATCTGATTAAGTGGTCATACTATAAAAATTTATGTAATATTGTACTGTACTTACTTTTCTATTGCAAGACTTCCTATAGCCTTTGGTCCTGGAAGAAAAAGTTGCCTGCTTTGAAATTAGCATATGCTTACTACTTTAAAGAAATGAGTCACTAAATCTGAGAAAATGCCTCTTCAAACTTAGAAAAAGAATGAGAGTAAGTTTTGTGTCTCCTACTGATTATCATTCTATTTACTTTGATTTTATGTCAGTAAGCACTGCGTATTATTTGCAGCAGTGTTTCTCAAAATTGTCCCAGGGTACCACAGAGATGGATCTTGAGTTGATCTCTTAAAGAATATTAATGCTTAAAAAAAATCACTCATTCAACAAAATTTTGAATACATAAGGTGCCTGGGGAACACATGAAGTACAAAAACAAACACTTCTTCTCACTTATATTTTAGTTGGGGAGATACACAGACTTTTATACCGGGAATATAAATTGATACGTACTCAGGAGGGAAACTTACATGGAACTTTTAGGAAGAACTTTTAGGAAGATCAAAGAAGGCTTCCCTAAGGAAGTGACAATGGAATTTAGTTATGCAAAATGAGAAGTCCAGGTATGGCACTGTAGGATAAGCACTGGACTGATAACTGCAAGGTCGGCAGTTCAAACTCACCAGCCACTCCTTGTGAAACCCTAGTATTCAGCAATGCAAAATGAATAGGAGATATGCAGAATCTGGGCTAAAGGTTGGTAGGCAGAAAGATAGTAAAGAAAGAGTGCTTTCAGGATATGAGAGGCTGAAACAAAACCAGTGTGGATGGAAAAGGGAGAATGAGATTGAAGTAAACTAATAACAAGTTGTCATCCAGTTGATTCGGATTTATAGCAACCCCACCTATGTTAGAGCAGAATTGTGATCCATAGGATTTCTCAGTGACTGATTTTTCATAAGTAGGTCTTCTTGACACACTTCTGGGTAAACTCAAACCACAAACCTGCAGTTTAGCAGACAAGCGAGTTAACCATTTGCACTATCCAGAGCTCTGCAATAGAAGGAAGATCATTTGAAGATCAGTCGGTAGGAACCAGACCATGCAAAACATTGCGGGCCAATTTAGGGACTTCAGTGTTTATATCCTAATGAGGGTCTTTGAATTGTTTACATTGTTGTTCAGTGCCTTAGAGTTGGTTCCGACTCATAGCGATCCTGTATAGAGTTTCTGAGGAGTGGCAAATTTGAACCAACAACCTTGCAGTTCAAACCGACCTTGAGATCCAGTGCATCATCCCACAGTGCCACACCAGACTCTAAATAAATAAATACTCTTCCTTGAAAGGAAAAGAGAAGACTGGAGCAAACCCACAGCCCGTGATTCTCCCTCAATTAGGAGACTGCTGCAATCACCTAGATGAAGAGTGACTAGAAGTTGGACTAGAGTTCAAGAATGATGGAGAGGAATCACTATTTCAGAAGTGAAGGCACTGACTGTATTTGATATGAATATATTTATGGATATTATAAATTATATTTCTCAACGATAATGTATTTCGTGTTAGGCTTTATTCCAACTCCTAGAGAGAGAAATGTGACTAAAACAAGGTTCCTGAAGTGAACAACCAACCTAATGTTTTAAATAAAATCGTTTCTTTGATAGGCCTAAAATAATCTGAACATTCCTTTTAAGGTTAGTTGTGATTATCTAGTGGCAAGGCATAAAGTGCTTTTGAAGTGCTTTTACAAACATTTCATTTAGTTCTGAAAAAGAGTCTCTAACAAAAGTTTTTGCTTTATTTTGTTTTCCAGTTTTTATCTATGTAGTACGGTTGTTGTTGTTGTTGTTGTTAGGCACCGTCGAGTCTGTTCCAAGTCATAGTGACCCTGTATAGGGTTTCCAAGGAGCCGCTGGTGAGCTTGAACCACCAGCCTTGTGGTTCAAATAGACTATGCAGTCCAGCACAATAACCTGCAGCACTAGTATGTAGTAGTGATTATTTATTAGCTACAGAAATGAAACCTTGGGTTTTTTATCTGTGTCTAGCTCACCAACTGCTCCTCAGAAATCCTATACAGGGTCATTATGGGTCGGAACCGACCTGACGGCACTTAACAACAACAACAACTACTACTATTTTTGGACTTCTGGTGTGGCACTGTGGATCAGCACTGGACTACGGACCACAAGGTCGGCAGTTCAAATCCCTCAGCCGCTCCTCGGAAACCTTATACAGGGCCACTATGAGTGGGAACCGACTCAAGTCACTTAGTTAACAACAACTACTTCTACTTTTGTTGTTGTTAAGTGCCGTTGAGTCGGTTGCAACCCTGTATAGGGTTTCCGCGGAGCAATTGATGAGTTTGAACTACCGACATTGCAGTTCAAACGGCTCCTTTGTGTTCAGTGGACCTCCGTGATCCACACCAAGGGACACTACAGGCCGGGCTGTCTTCATCTGGTTTTCTTTTATGCTTGCTTTTGTAATGCTGCAGGAATTTTTAAATATTTGAGTTTAAACAGATTAGCTCTGGGGGTGTGGGGGAGGGGTTTCCACGTGAAGGGGAACAAAGCAAAATTTAAATACAGTGTATTTTCCAGCTTCCCTTCTTTACACCAAAATAAAAGTATTAACATGCACACAAACAAAATCAATCTGTTGTTAAGTGCCCCAATGGATTCCGACTCATAGCTACCTTGTATAGGGTTACTGAGGCTGTAAATATTTGCAGGAGCAGAAAGCCTCATCTTTCTTATGCAGAGCAGCTGCTATTCAATTTAGTCATTCTAAATGCTCTTATCTATTCTATTAATTCACTTCTATTGGTTTTCATTCTCATGTTCACATGGAGTGTAGTGGATACAATAGATGTGTGTTTAATGGTTGGGCAGCTATGAACTAGGTAAATTCCCAAATAAGCTGTATCCCACAAGTAAAAGCCATGGACTAAGAGCTGCTATTGTTTGATATCTTGACAGAGAAGGGTAATAAAAATTAGAATAGGTCTTTGTGTTTTAGGGTCAGAAAACTTGTTTTAGGGTCAGGAAACTGCATTTGGAAATCAATATGGAATTATATAATTTCTTTGTGTCTGCTAGTAAAGTTTCAAATATTTTTCCATGTCTTCATTTTCTGGAATTTGATCTAAAAAAAAAATAATCTTTTGTAAACATGAAGAGTCTTGTATTTTAGATGTGTTTTGGAGCCAAAGTAAATTTTATCAAAACCTGGTTGTTGTTGTTATTTACCATACATTCAGTTGGTTCTGACTCAGCAAACATGTATAGGGTTTCCAAGGAGCTACTAACTGGTGGGTTTGAACCATCAGCCTTGTAGTTACCAGTCTAGTGCTTATCCTACAGCACCATACTAGGACTCCAGGATGTTTTATTGTTTCACTGGGAGCTGAGCCAGGGGAGTAAGTTAAGTTTCAGGCCTGAAGGATTGATTGACAGCCACAGATAGCCTCAAGGGTTTTACCAGTCTCTGCCAGAATAATAAGCTGGTCTTACGGTTTTGAGTTTTCCGCATTTTCCTCCCATTCTATCCGGGACCTTCTATGTGATCCCTTTCAGAATGGCCAGCAATGGCAGTTGGATACCATCTAGGTCTTCTGGTCTCATGGTCTTGAAAGCTGAGGTTCACCTGGTGCAGCTCTTCTTTGGACTAATTGAACAATAACCTCAGGGAGGTAACCACTTTTAGAATTGTCAACCATATGAGATCAAAAGGGCAGCCTTTGCCCAAGAATAAAGCTCAGAAGGCAGGGATGGACAGGAAAGAAGGACTAATGGAAACAGTAAACATAAAAAGGAAGTGGAAAGAGTGCTGCGGCATTGTGGGGATTGCAAATAATGTCACGAAACAAAATGTATATGAATTGTTTAATGGAAAACAAATTTATTTTATAAATTTTCACTCAAATCACAATAAAAAGTTTTAAAAATCAACAAAGAACACGGTAGGTTGTCATAAGCCTCAGGCAAGATCATTAGTGTAGCAGATTCCATGTTTCCTAGGCAAGCATTTATGCCAGAACATTAAAGCTATTTAAATGTTTGTGCTACTGGCTTGAAATGA